GGAGAGAGAGGGGGAGAGGGAGAGAGGGGGGAGGAGGGGGAGGGGGAGGGGGAGGGGGAGGGAGAGGGAGAGGGAGAGGGAGAGGGAGAGGGAGAGGGAGAGGGAGAGGGAGAGGGAGAGGGAGAGGGAGAGGGAGAGGGAGAGGGAGAGGGAATCTATTAATTGCCAGGGTGACTATCTGCATCTATGCTACTAAAAGTTGCTGAATTCCAGATAGAACAATACAAGTTCACTGATGATCTAAATCTTAGCACATATGTAAGAGACAGAATTGGATGGATTTGCTCTCTGTTGGACAAGAGCACATATCTGACCTTGATCAGCAGGAGGGTGGGTACAGTACTAAGTAGTTTGCAAGTCAAATTTGAGACATGGTCTGTAGAATTCTCTCTAGGATTCTGGAACTCTATCAACAGTGTGTGTGTGCATGCGCACACACAAACACACACACACACATCTTGAAAGACATGTTGCCTCCAGGCTTGAATTGTGGATTAAATGACAAAGACTGCCAGAGTCTGCTGGGAGCTAAAAACTGTTCCCCCAGGATAACAAAATTGCTCATTACTAATTTTTCTATGGTGTATTCATCTTTCCTACTATCACACTTGCATTACGCAGGCGTCTTCTGTTTGGCATACCCAAATATAATGAAGGGAGGAATTGAGGTGAATCACTCAGTCAATTCTTGAACCAAGGTTTGATGTCTTAAAGGGAGGGTTCTTCCCCTTTTGATATAAGTGTATTTAAAAGAGAAAACCCAGCTGGTGAGATGGCATTTACCACTATGCCTGATGTAAAAAGAATTTAAATACACAGAAAGAAGATATTCCTGTCTGTTGATAAAGAAACTTCCTCCTGAGTTAAGAGTCTTCATTAGCTCTTTAGTTTCCTTGAATGGAGTCTCCTTTGGCCAAGAATTCAACTTTCAGATAAGGACTCAGAGCTGCAGCAAAGGGCTGCATGACTCTGTCACTTTAGGTATGCTGGTTACAACAGTCAGCTTTATCACAATTACTCAGAAGCCAAAGGGCAATGGGGGAGGGGTGGCTGATGGCAAAGCCATTGCTGACATTAGACAAGATGTCCAAGCTTTGGATACAAAAGAATAACACCTCAAGGTTCGACCATATACCCTCCCGCTATAACTGCTATACAGCAGGAAATGAGGCAGTTTTACATGTTTACCCTGCTTTATACCTAGCAAATTATGACTTGGCAATGAGGCTTCAATGGTGTTTGGCCTCCTTGCCAAGGCCCCTTACACCTCTAAAAGAATTGTTAAGTGAAATCTAAGCAGCAGAGTAGAAATCCACAAAAATGCACAAGAACTCCATAAGGGTGTATTTTGACCTCACAAACTGTAATTATTCTGGGAAGAGTTTGCTTTATAAGATATTTCATTTCTTCCTCGATGAAAATTAACCTTTAAAATTTCTCTTAGGCTTAAATTCTGTAATTCAATGATAAATTCATAATGGGTACTTTGGAGCCAACCAAGGGGAAAAATGTGGCTACATTTTTCACAGCTCAGTGGAAGAGTTACTGAGTCATGTGATCCCAAACAGCTTTCCAATATGTGAAATTTAGGAATAGCAATAAAAATTCATCAGATTTAATAATGGTAATAGTAATAAGTTATGCAAATGAGCCACATTTATTAGGCATTTGTTAGATGCTAGGCACGAAGCCAAATATATTTCAAGTCCTAATCTCATTCATTAGAACATCAAAGTTGAAGGAGACCTTAGATAACACATTGTCCAATTTTACTTAATAGATAAGATCATGGATTTCAAGAGAAAGCCATTTTGGAGGACAGTAATCTAATCAGAGAAGAGCAAGTTAGATGGGTGAATAACACAAATAACACAGAGAAAATAAAACCACTTCGGCCAAAGACAGTAGTGTGCTGTGAACTAAGAATTTACATTAACCTAATTTACATACTCAGGCTTGTAACACAAATTCAATCAGGAAAACAGAAATTTGACTTCCCCTTTCAGATGTCTCAGGTGCTGAACTATTAAAATGTCATACTAAAAATATAATCCATGACACATAGTATCCCTAAGACAAAAGTTAACTCAAAGCTTGATGTCACACTTACCACAGAAATGTATATTCTGTGATCTTAAGAGAGAACACATCCTACAGGCCTTAGGAAGCCTTAGTTATTTCTTTAACATGTTTGAAGCTGATTTAGATGGACATTGTTGACCATGTCCCCTGTGCATTAAAGCCTGCAATGACAAATTGGTCCTCAGAAAGCTTTTGGTAGTGATTCAATTTTATGACACTATCTCTAGATAATCCACCCCCCCTCCCAAATGCTGAAATTCAGGCAGATCCCACAGCAAAGTTAATAATACCTCCTGAAGTCCCTTCAGACTAGGTTTAACTATATACTACTGGATACTCTGCCTACTTAAGTTTAACTTGCCTTGAAAAGAACTAAGTAGCCAGCTTGCTATGCCCTGGATTTCCCATGTAATGAGCTTTTAC